AGTGGTTGCTAGTGACTGGGAGAAGGGGATAATGGACAGTTATTGTTTAATGGGCATAGGGTTTCAATTTTATAAGATGAAGAGATGGAGATGGATAGTGGTGATAGGTACACAACAATGTGAATGTATCTACCATCACTGAACAGTATACTTAAAAATGGTTAAGATGATGGATTTTATGTTATGTGTATTTTACCACACACACAGGAAGAAAATAGTAGGTTACTTTAAGAGCTAGTGTTTAGGAGATGGTTACTGAGAGTCAAGCATTAGTGCTTAAAAGATGAAGGATTTTTATTATGCAAAATACTTTTTGAGTGGCATGAGGCTTTACCATATGTTCAGTTTTATAATTTTAATTTGCAAGTAGATGCTTCTAGAAAAAAAGTGCTGTTTTCTTCTGCACATCTTTACACATTTCTAGAACTGAGTTCTGAATTGAAGTCAGAAATAATTTTGCACTTAGTGTTTTTTGGTAAAAAAAAAATAATGGGCTGAATAAAACTGAGTAAAAAGTCATAACTACCCAAAATGTGAATATCAGGTAAGCAATTGACTTGTTTTGTAAACATCCTATGGGAAAGGAACAAATGATTCATCAATTAGTATCCTATTAATGCAAATGAAATCGCAGAAAGGAGAAAAAAAAACAACAAAAAACCTTCAGTATTAAAAGCTGATTTTGTAGTTCCATAACTGAGTTTTTATTTCAAAGTGAAAATTTTCTCTTCTATCACTAATGTAAAATTTCCTGCTGAATAGCAACAAATGCCATGAATGTAAATTTGTCTAAATATAACATAAAATATATATCTCATTTTAATGTTTAAGATAGTTTCCATTAAGTAATTTTGTTATGAAATATCTTAAAGTTACTTCAACTCTTGCAATAAAACAGTTATGTCTGTTCACTGTATCTGAACTGGAAGGGCTACTCAGTTCATTTTGGGAGAATCCTGAAAGAAATCTTCAAAGACCCCTTTCCCATGCATTAAGATAGAAAATCCTATGGGATTACATCCATGTTTGCTTTCTAAATTATACCAAAAGCTCAATTTTATTAAGTATAATCTGTCTAGCCATGCATAAAATAAAATACTTTGGTTTAGATGTGAGTGTATTATTTATATTGATTTTTTTATAAAAATATTTTTTACATATGTGTCACATTCTGCTTAATATTGGTTAATATCATAAAAGATAATGTAGTAACATGACTTTTCTAAATGCTTTTCTGAGTTCATCTAATAGTATATATTGAAAGAATTAATTTTTTTGTCACTTAATTTAGTTTTCAAAAGAAGGAGCTCTTTATGTATAAGACCAATTTTTACTCCTATTTATTTTAACTTCTTAAGAAAATAGAACTTCATTGGGGATAACTTTATGCATTTATACATGGCAGTAATTTAAAGTTGTATCTGCACCTGGGCCTTGAAAAAAACTAGTGTTGTCATTTTAATTGAGTTATAAAGTAATTTATATTTAAGAATCTATGTTTCAAAAAATCTTGAAAGGTTCTAGTCATATAAATGCAAAATTTCAGTTTCTTGTAGCCTAAAGCATCATTTTAATATTTTCTAAAAGGTTGTTCAATTCTACATTTTGATTCCATTATATGTGTAATTAAACCTCTGTGCACAAAAGCATTCTCTTATGTACTAGCAAATACACCCACAGGAATCCTCTTCTAAACTATAATTTATTTAAACATGTAATCATAGGATTTTAAAACATGCTTTCATTTTTCCAAACTATTTGCCAATTTGAGCTACTTGGTGATAAAATGAGAGATTTCATTACTATTTTGGTTTTTTCCCCCCTGTGACCTAACAGTGAGTTAAACATGGGCAGGAGGAAAAAGAAATCTGTTGTGAACCTAATTCCATGTGTTAAACCGTTTCCCCTTTAAAGAAAAATAGAAAAAGTATAGAAGACTTGTAGTTATTTATGAATTCCAGCACAGTATGAATATTTGGGCCTGCAGCTTGCTCTCCTAGAGTTTGGCCTAAGTAGTAAATAGCTAGCTGGGGGTGTGTGTGTGTGTGTGTGTGTGTGTGGTGTGTGTGTGTGTGTGTGTGTGTGTGTGTGTGTGTGTGTGTGTGTGTG